TTTTGTTTGTTTACAAACTCATCAACACACTGCTCCTATATTCCACTTGATCGACATTATCAAAAACTTCGTACTGATTTTAACTTTATCTTTTACCGTTTAAATAATAGAAGTAAGAACTCTTAATTTTTAATTGGAAAACCTACTACAACTAATATTACTTAAGTATTTTCTTAGCTATTTATATCCACTCCTTTGACTTCATATTTAGGCTTGGGACTAGGGTTCATTTGCAATTACTTGAATGATTTCATGGTGAGGAATAATCTTGACAGCGGTAAATTCTATAGAGTAGCTAAAAACAATACTCCTCGACATTTCGCGAAATTAAATTAATTTAATCTTCACACCATGGTTCAGGCTATGGCCTAATTCATGTATTTTACTGGCCTATATGCACCGATATTTTAGCACAAACTGATATAAAATTAACGATTGGCACAAAAACAAATCCAGAGCGACGGTTTCCTGGTGATTACGGTGGCGCTTAATGAGGGTCAATAGTCATTGCTTGAAAACTCCTATTTGGCTGCCGAGCTACTGTCGGCTGCCCTTCTTGGCTGCACTTGGCTGGGTGCACTTAGCTGGGGCAGTTGGCTGGGGCAGGCGGCTGACGATCGCTTGAATTATTTCTGCCCGCAGCTGCCTAGCCGGACTTCTCAGCGCCAATTCTGTTATGGGCCGAGAGACAGGTTCTAGGCCGCCCTAAAATAATTTTCGAGCCTCGTTAGGGTTGCGTTCGAATATGGTTAATTTTCCAGAACTCACCCCTGCAGAGCGCCTCTTCTGAATTTTTTCCTTCTGTTCCACTGACCGCGATTGAACTCAGAAAGCGGTCTTGAATTCACTTGGCACTTAATTGCCTTCAAAAATTTCGTGACCGCTCTAACCTTTTTAGCGTGGTTTGGCCAAAGGTAATATAAAATCGCACAGCTTCACTGTCTGCAGGCTCGAATTGAAAAGAATGCACGAGGCGAATAGCGTTTCCTCTAGGGTTAAGCCGAACACCGTAAGCGTTTATCCGATCCCCATTAAAGTCAATGCAGACCTACGTATTATCGGTATTCGTAATATGCAGACCTGCATATTATCGGTAAACAAAAATGCATTTCTATGTTTATTGCAGTTTCGCAACCGAGTCATAGATGGCGCTTCATGTATTCAACACTCGTCCGTTACATCTACGATCTAGGTGGCGCCAATGATCTATACCTTCCCGTTACATATATTTTGTAATATCTGTAAAATCCACATAAAGGTTTTTGAAAATATTTTCAAAAATAATAAACAACAACTTAATATTAAAAAATGTATTGTGGAACAATGTATTAAGTGCACAAATGAAAGTATTGATTTCTCATTATGGTTTGATATAAATAATGAATGTTATATGCATAAGATAGATCTTTTAAATAAATTTGTAAAAGTTTTACTTTTTAAGCATTGCAAATGGACTGTGATAGCTGATAGGCAGAAAAGGCAGAAACAGCAACGATTTTGATAATGATAAGATAATGAATGTGGACAAGGCCTATTGCGGATACCACAGTAAATATAACGCGCCAGAATGTCTACCTCTGTGGTGGTGCAAACGCATTCTATTTTTAGATTTTTACGCTCTGAAATTTGTGAGAGCAGGGAGAGCGCCATTGTCGTTTGAATAAAAATTTAGCTTCATATTGCAAAACGAATGTGTGGTCGTAAAGCATTTAATTTTTATTTTGTCTTTTAGATTAAGTCAGAAATTTACTTATTTTATCAATGTTACTATTAAAGCTCAAACACTGAGGTTGTTTTGAATTCTTAAAAATAAACTGGTTTTGTGGATGATGTTCCATAGACGAGCATAAGCAAATTTTATTTCGTCAGGACGGTCAGATATATTCTATATAGAAGTAAACGAAAGACTTTCAGAATATATGCTTACTACGTATGATTCTGGCATTCTGATAGGAAATACCTAGGGAGTTAGTTTTTTGGATCGGGAATAGACGATATTTGAGCAGGGGACAGTCGAGAAACAAGTAAATGTCTATTATGTAGGACTATTATAAGAGCTTATAGCAAGGCACACTGATTATCTCCCGTGCTGTTATCGCCCGGCATTCTGGACCTGACACCCTGGGATGGAGGATTTACGGGACTCTCTGGGGTCAAAATTAAAGAGCCCTCAGATTTTCCGCGAGATTTTTGAGTTCGTTTTGTGCCATCTCCACAACAAGACGCAACCCCTCGGAAAGCAATTCTTGCTTGCTATCTTCTTTAAAACTCTAGCGAGAAGCATATGATCCAGAGTCCGGCACAAATATAAAGGCAAAAATGAGGTTGGAGTTTGTATTCCAACATGAGGTTGCAATAATATTTAGGGTGTCCGCTGCTGTTGCAGTAGTTGGTATGACTGCTGAGCCAATAGCGTCGTTTATTCCCCCGTTAGGGCGTTCTCATATTTTAAAATACAAATCAAATTATAATCCCTGGCGTTCCACCTGTAGTAAATATATTTGCCGGATTGGTGCGATCTCCACACGGTTTTCGCATTTAAAAATATCACGTCGGTGTCTCCAATGCGGGAGTAAGCTAACAAATAATCTTTATTGACTATTACAAATATAAACAAGAAAGGAAGCTAACTTCAGCATGCAGAAGTTTATATACTTCGATCACTAGGAACTAAAACAATATGATTTATATTAGGTTGTCAAAAAAGTCTTGCGGTATTTTTATTGAATTTTCAATTATGTTAAAGAACAATGAAGAAATGCCTTCTACCATTTCTTTCACCAATACATATTATATCTACAGTTTTACATTTACAGTGTATATCTAAAGATATATCACGCAGCTATATGATATAGTATGCATGTTAAAATAGAGGAAAATTTTTTAAAACCAGCAAAGTTATAATTTTTGTTCTCATATCTAATATATAAAATTCTCGTGTCACAGTTTTCGTTGCCATACTCCTCCGAAACGGCTTGACCGATTTTGATGAAATTTTTTGTGCTTATCCGGTATCTATGAGAATCGGCCAACATCTATTTTTCATCCCCCTAAATGTTAGGGGTAGTGCATATATCTATTTTTTTAGCGTTTCCAAGTGCCCCTACTGCTGCGCCATCTACAGGCAGCCAGCTGAATCAAAGCATTTCCTGTCAAACATTCAAAACATATTGAAAGAAGAAACTTGAAAAGTTCTGAACCGTTTAAGCCCAAATTTTTAGAGAACATGCGTTGAGGTTCCAGCTCGGTTATTGACTACTTTTGATGTTGATAGCTTATCTGCGGTTGCGAATATATATATTTTTTTAGCGTTTCCCCGTGCCCCTACTACTGCGCCCTCTACAGGCAAATCAAAGCATTTCCTGTCAAACATTAAAAACATATTGAAAGAAGAAATTGGAGATAAAAATTTTATTTTTTGTTCAGGTTCAGTAAGAAACGAAGTCATGCCACCAAAAAAGTCGAGATTGGGTCGTTGTATTCGCAATACAGAAGCAAAAAGACGTAAGCTTACGAATATGACTGACGAAGAACGGGCCTCCTTCCGAGAGACTGAGCGGCTGAGAGCAATGCATGGGAACGCGTTAATATTGCTCGCAGGGGATTTCAGACAAACGTTGCCTGTGATTTCCCGATCGACACCAGCTGACGAGATAAATGCTTGCCTGAAATATTCTATATTGTGGAAACATGTACGTACATTACAGTTGAAGACGAATATGCGTGTCCAGTTACAGAACAATGACTCAGCCGACGTATTCTCACGACAGCTACTGGACATTGGGAACGGAAAGCTGCCAGTCAATGAGACGTCGAGAAAAATAGTATTGCCCGGGAATTTCTGTAATTTAGTTACATCGAAGGAAGAACTTATCCAAAAAGTGTTCCCCAATATCCGAATAAATTATAGGAACCACGATTGGCTCAGTGGACGAGCGATTCTCGCTGCCAAGAACAAAGATGTCTACCAGCTCAATCATGTAATCCAAAAAAGCATAGAAACTGACGAAATTACATATAAGTCGATAGATACCGTTGTGGAAGCAGAGGAAGCAGTTAATTACCCTACCGAATTTCTAAACTCACTTGATCTGCCTGGAATGCCACCACACATATTGAAATTAAAAATAGGTGTGCCGATTATCATGCTCCGGAATATAAATCAGCCGAAACTCTGCAACGGTACGCGACTCGCAGTCAAGAAATTGATGAACAACATAGTAGAAGCAACGATCATAACGGGTCCTTTCAAAGGTGAAGATGTCCTCATTCCTAGGATTCCTATGATCCCGACAGATACACCGTTCCAGTTCAAGAGATTGCAGTTTCCCATTCGTTTGGCGTTTGCAATGACCATAAATAAAGCTCAAGGTCAATCTCTGGAGTTGTGTGGTCTGGATTTGGATGAAGATTGTTTTTCACACGGACAATTATATGTTGCGTGTTCACGAGTCGGAAAACCAAAAAGTCTTTATATTTACGCGGAGAATGGAGAAACAAAGAATATTGTATACCAACAAGTATTACAGAATTAAATTAATTTGAAAATGATTATTTTTTGTTTGACTTATTTCTTATGCGTTCAACCACAATATGCCACAGAGAAACGTGGCAGTCCAACGGTCAACGTGTCTATTTCACAGAAAAAAATGTGCAAGAAAGAGTCCTGAATCGGCCAGCGACAACTCTGACTGCCTTCTTCACCTTATGCCAGGAAGATGATTTTGCCAGAACCTTGATGTATTCAGAAGTGCCCTCTTAACCATAATATGCCACAGAGAAACGTGGCAGGGTACAGCTAGTAATATATAATAATTCAAGAATATATATACTTTATGGTATCGGAAATGACTTCTTTACTGTGTTTGCAAACTTCAGACTAAAATTTTAATATCCTTAAAGGGTATACAATTAAGCCAAAAGAATATAAGTAATCTATTAAAAAAAATTTTAAGTATATACTCTTAAAATATATTCAATCACGTATTTATATATATTACCTGTCATCACTTGCATAAATTCTGAAAAATAAAACATATTTTTAACATTTTTTTTAATGAAAAAATGAATTGTTTTACCATCAAAATCAACTGTTCCTGAACCATCAGCATCAATTTCCTCTATAATACTATCCAAGTCTTGATTAGAGATTTTATCGTCCAATTCGTGAAGAATGCTCCGCAATGTGGCAACTGTTAGATAACCTTTTCCTTCCTTATCGTAAACACGGAAGGCCTCTTTCAATTCATTTTGAAGTGCTCCTACGTCTTCCTCGACTTCGATAAAACGAGCAGCCAACTTACAGAACTGGCTAAAGTCCAATTTACCAGTTGATCCTTTGTCTACCTCCTTAATAAGTGCCTTCACAGCTGGCGGTTCTAGTTTCTGGCCTAAGATTTCAAGAATGCTTGACACATCTGCATGTTCAATAAAACCTGCTCCATCATGATCAAAAGCCTTAAAAGCATTACGAAGAACTGCAAAATAACGGTTTGATTATTGAAAAATACCATGTAGATACTCACTTCTCAGTTGCTCTTTGTCATATTCGCCGTCAGCCTGTAATATGTAAATAAACTATAAAGCAAACAAGAAAGGAAGCTAACTACGGCACGCCGAAGTTTGTATATCCTTGTAGATTGCAATTCGATTATTATACAATATACAATACAATACAATATTAATTTAGTATCTTTATGTTATAAAAGCAATGAAGGAATGTCTAGTTTTATAAAATTCACCTACAATTATTATATTTACTGCCTTACAGTTACAGTTTTAAATTTACAGTTTAAATTGTTCACTACACGATTGTTCCTTTGGGAGCTTTATGATATATATAATTTACATTAACATTTATAATTGGTAAAACAAAAATTAAAATAAAATTCAACATTTAATTTAAATGAATAAAGTTAAATAAAGATAGAAGTGTAATAATGGAAAATCCACCATTTTAGTTAAATAGAATAATTAGGCAACTAACTGTAAAGGGTGATCGATGACAATGCAATAATTTGATAAAAAAAATTTCATTATCCTTATAAGATCGTCAGAATTGATAAATTCTTATATAGATCCTCCGAAAAGAAGTAAGAGAGACAGAGCTAGCGCGGGATCTGCGCATCATGAAATAATGAGATTACGAATAGTTCGTAAGATATTTCATAATTACATGTCCGCAAAAATTGATTATTGATAAATCGAACTAAAATACGAAAAATAACTGATAGCTTAGAAAATTTAAAAAACACGCGTTTATAGGTACCCACACTAAAAATAGAAATAAATAATAGTTTAAAAAAACTAAAAAAACACGCTTTTATAAATAACAGAACTAAAAAGAAGAAAATAATTTATAATTACAAACGAAATTATAAAAATATAAATATAAAATAAATGTAAGGCTAAAAATATAAATATATACGAAATTGTCTGCACTTGATTTTGTTTTTGTTCGACTAAAGATACATTTTTCTATATAAAGTATAAGTAAATAGTATGTATTCAAATATTTTAAATTATATTAAAAGAAACCAATTTATTGTAGCAACATTATAATTTATGTAAACAAGTAGAAAAATTATTTATTAATAAATATTTAAATAATCACTATATTTTTTTTTTTGAAGTTTGGAAATATTTATTACTGTATTTTTTACTATAATGTAGAAACTTAAACAATAGTGTGGGGAAAAGTTTATTGGAAATTTACAAAAGTGTAAGTGTTAAAGTGATTTAATTGGGTGTAGGAAGTGGCAGGGGCTTTAAATAGTGCTTAATAAATCTTTCTCCTTGGAAGGTCCGAGGGATGAATTCTTTTAACTTTTTGCCAAGTCCGCCGAGATGCAAATCCTTTGGCAAGGATATTTGGGTGTGACATGAGCTTATTCCAATAATGTTTGGCTTGCGCATTGATTATGACTCCAATCAAGGGAACTTTAACATTTCTTGCTATGTCTATGTTACGGATGAACCGCACAGCACCAGGAATTCTCCGCAGGAACTTGCGATTCAGATTAGTTTTGTTCGCAACAGCATAAACTTGAATTCCGTATCTCCAAGTGGGTGCAAGGATGGACTTGTATATTATTTTGCCTTCACCAGCCAACTGTACTTGTAATCTTGGCGAAGGTTAATCAGGTGTCAAAAGTGAGTTCCAGTTATATTCTCTGATCTGCTCAAGAAGCTCTCCATGCAGGAAAAAGTCAGGGCACGACTCGTTTCTGAGAGAGTGCGTCACTACAGCACACTTTGCCGGGTTAATGGATATGTTCCAGCGACAGGCCCAATTCTTACACAAGAGAGAATTGCTGTATCGTCAACAAGTGTGGCCAGCATTGGATTCTGCTGCTGTCGCATGGACTTCGGCACATCGTGGGTAAACAAGCTGTACAACGTCGGTCCCAGCACGATTCTTTGGGGAACTCTAGACTAAATCAACCTTTGAGAGGATAGGGTTACATCATGGACCACACTAAATGTCCTGTCAGAGAAAAAGCTCCAAACCATTTCTAATAGTTCCGGGTTAATTAACGGCTTGAGCTTGCAAAGTGGCCCTGCTTGTCACACCCTATCAAATGCCTGCTGTATGTCTATTGCTTACAGTGAAACCCCTCGAGTACTTACTCAACTACACAGTAAAACTGATCACGGTTGCCGCGCCTGAGTCTGAACTCAAATTGAATTTTTAAAGAGAGTTAAGGCCTTCGGAGACTGAAGTAATCTCCTAAGGATGCTTACCAAATGTGGAAAGGAGGCTAATAGGCCGATAACTGTTGAGGTCCTCGGGTTATTTGCCATGTTAAGGATCATTACAATGCAAGCACTCTTCCAAGCCTTCGGAAAACCTCAGGAATGCATTGAAGATGAGTATAAGGATAGCAGTGCTCTAAGATAAAGAGTTTTTGCAACACCGTTGTCAATTTGGAATTTAGATTTTTAATGTCCTCTTTAACCTCCTGTAGGCTTACATGTGGCACAGGGAGTTCCATTTGGTGGGTAATGGCAACTTGCCAGGTACTATCAGTTCTCTCCGGGCAGAGGCTGTTGCTAAGGGAGTAAATCTACCTTTCAGATTTTGAGGAAGAGCTAAAACTCTTTTGTATGTGGACATTGCCGTGGATATTTTTTACAATGCCATGAATTTATTTTTTACTGAAAGTGTTCCGTTATACTATCCGCCAATCTCAAATAAACCGCCATGGTTTACCAAAGAGTTAAGCCGACTTAAAAATAAAAAAATCTAGGCTGTATGCTTAATTTAAATTCACCGGTAAAAACTATTTAACTCGTTGTAGGGTCCAGGACCCAAAACAGTTTTATAATTTTGTTAACACTAAACGTAAGCCTGAAACAAATCCTTCCTTGCTATCATTTGAAAATACTAACGCAAATAATGATCAGGCAATAGCCGATCTATGTAGTTTCGCAGTTTTTTCCAACAACTTATTCAAACTCTTCGAATTTACATCAGACTTATTCCTACGTGATTCCCAAATCGAACTTAATTTTCTGTCCTACCCTAATCAAAAGCTCTCTTCTTATAGATCTTCATCAGGTATTGTGTTAACGCCCTGTGCTATCCCCATCTGAAATTGTTTACCTTATCCTTAGAGACCTCACACTTTCCCATTATTCGGGAGGAATCGTTTATTATTCCTCTCCACATAAAAGGTAGCAAATTGGATTCCAACAGTTATAGAGGAATCTTTAAGTTATCGGGTATCCCAAAAGCTTTTGAAAAATTAATTTGCCCACCTTTTCTGCATCTTTGTAGGTCAGTTTTTTTCTTAAAGAAAAAAGGGATTTATTAAGCAAAGATTTACAACAACAAATCTTTTGGTTATAATGGGCTCCCATAATAAAATTCAAACAGATGTCACTTATACTGAATTCAGTTAAGCATTTAAATCTGCTACTTATATACTTTTTGTTTGAAAAATCGATTTTATGGGTTTTCCGGATGATCTTATAAATGAATCTCAAGTTATCTGATTGAAAGACAACAACCTGACCAAAGTTCTGACCAACTCTATAGCACTTATATACGCGGAAGACGTCAAGCTTTGCGTGCAATATAAAGACGTCGCTTGCCAGTCGGATTTACAAACAGATTTTAATGTAAACTTATTAAATTTAAACGGTTCTTGTTGCAAGCTAATGAATCTCTCTCGTGTCCTTCCCAATCTTGAAACTTCCCAATTCTAAACTTGACTTTATCGATCACATTCGTCCATGGTGAAAAAAGTCCGGAGTGTGATTCGATTTATTAATCGGTGGTTCGACGATTCTCAGTACGGCCTCCATAGTAAACGAAAAAAGGTCTTTCGATATACGATGTTTAAATTAAGATTCAAAACAAATTTTGTCATTATATAGACTCTTTATTAACTTACCATCCTTAGCCAACCGTAGAATTATGTTAGGCACTACCTTTATTTATAACCTTATCTTGTTAGGTCAGCTAAATTTCTTCGAACCGAGTAGAAACACTAAATCATATATACCTTAGTGTTGCGCAATCCTCAGAAAATCCATTGAATTGCATGAACCTTTCAAAGCCCTATGTGTAAATTATGTTAAAAAAAATTTTTTTTTTTATTTGCGCGCGAGTCCCACGCCCACCTCTCCAATAAATAACGTTTTTAGTTTAGGAAGGTTTTCATTGCCATTAATATAATAAAAAAGGCGATTGTAATCGGTATATAAAATTTTATAGGGTTCATGTGCTTTAAACTCTCTCCTACAGTGATGTACTTCTAAGGGAATATACGTTCTAGATGTTAGTCGGGGTACATGGAAATTCAGATAGGGGCTCTCCAGGTCCCTGTGAATAAGTTTGTGTAGAAGGAAGATGCCAAGCATCGTCGGTTGGCTAGGAAAGGCAAATTAATTAAAAGACTACTAGAGTAAGACGGCAAATTAAGACAACTTCTCAGATTAAGCCTTGGAGGGCAAACAGCAAAAAGTTCTTTTGGACAGATTCAATGCGGTTACTATGAACTTCGAATTGGGATCTCCAAACACAAGAACCATACTCCAATAAAGAGCGAACTAATGAAGCACGCCTGTGTCTTTGTTAACCATGCAAGAAATGTGTTCGAAGAATGAAAATTTAGATTCAATGCGGTTACTATGAACTTCGAATTGGGATCTCCAAACACAAGAACCATACTCCAATAAAGAGCGAACTAATGAAGCACGCCTGTGTCTTTGTTAACCATGCAAGAAATGTGTTCGAAGAATGAAAATTTAGGATCTAGTTGGACACCTAGATAGTCAATAAAAGAGATTCTCTCCAAAACGCAGTCGTAAGTGGCAAACAGGGGAGTGATTCCTGAAAATATTATCAGTTTGCATTTAGATCTGTTGAGATGAAAAGAGTAAATATGACACCAAGCATGAAAGCTGTTAAGATCCGATTGTAGGTCTGACTGGCATGAACTATCCCTATACTGCACGCAAAGGTTAAGGTCATCAGCATATATAAGTACTCTGGATTTTGTTAGAACCAACGCCAGATCATTGATAAATAATGTGAATAGCAGTGGACCAAGGTGGCTACCTTGTGGGACGCCAGAGTGACTCTGAGACTGTTGGATTAAGCATTTTTAAATTGAACCTTTTAAGTACTGTTGCTAAGACAACTCGAAATCTACTTAAGAAGATCACCAGGAAACCATAAAAAATCGAGATTCCCTACAAGAAGAAAATGATTAACCGAATATGTTGTTTTTTTAAAAACTCTGCAAAAAGGTCGACAATGGCCTGATCAGAGTTTCCAGTAGTATTATTTAATGTAAGTGCGGAAGGATATGAATTGGGTTTAAACTTAGTGTTGACAAAGTTATAAAACCCTTTTTTTGTACTGGGCAAAGTGAACCCTTCAACGAGTCAAATTACTTTTATAACACTGAGCGTTATTTATTTTGAGCGGTGAATTTATTTTGAAGTAAGTTCGAGTTGAGTGTCTTAAAAGTGGTGTAGTAAGTTCGAGTTGGGTGTTTTAACAAGTGGAGCACCTTTGCTTGTGCTTCCACTGCCATGTATTGTCTGAATTCTTAATTCGTAACAAAAGATATAATAACCTAAGGCAGCGCTCTCTAGTGCCTTGGTAAAGCCTAAGGACAGCGCTATGTCTATGTAGTTGTAAAGTCAGAGTTCTTTATTAGTCTTTTTTTATATTCATCTATCATAATTCTAGCTCTTTTATAAAATATTTCTAATCTAAATGGACAATAATCATGTGCCATAGAGGGTGTCGGATTGAAACGGTATACGAAATATTGGAGCCATACGTCCCAATCAGTTTTATCTACTGAAATGTAGGATCGAATGAGTTAATTAATAGTTCTATGGCATCTTCGACTGTTCCAACCGTTTGGTGGTGGTGTGCAGTAGATGGTATATTGCCAATTTTTAAATACTTGTCTGTAATTATTAGGTTTGTATATTCTGTTCCCATGTCCGTAATTAACGTCTTCATTGGACCGTCTTCAGAATAAATTATTCCAAAATTGCTTTAGATTTCTTTAAACGTATTTTTCCAGTATTAGTGTCTCTGGACCTTAGTCAAGGTTTTTGTAATGTCTGTATGTCCTCCTTGTGCTGGATCATCATGAAATGTAGATACCATAGCTTCTTTTTATTTGGTATTTTTTATTAGGGTCACCGCGTTGAGTAGCGCTATTCACAATGATTTTAATATTTTGTTGCACATTTTCTTGAAATTATCAATTGAAACATGTTCAAAGATATTTTCCCACGGTGCCATTTTAAGTTGGCTGATTTTATATATATCGGCTTGCATTTGAAGCCTTTGGAAGAACTGATCTAAGTCAAGATTTCTATTGGTAAAAAAATCTCTAACATTATATCTTGCAGTAATTTTTTCCGACGTTTGATAAAACTGGTCATATTTTTTACTTGCAAGGTCACTACTTCACGTACTTCGTTGTTATATATAACTTCGAATACGTTAGGCTTTTAAACTTTTTCTATAGATTGCCTTGGCCGTTCAATTTGTTTTTCTCCTTCACAGGATTTCTGCCTACTTTGATATCTTGTAGAAACTTTATTTATATTTCTGGTTATGTGTTTTATGTGTTTTATTTCTTCGATAGTTATTCTTGATAATGTATCTGCTACGTAATTCATTATCTTTGCCCTTAAGATATTCTACTATGAAATTATATTCCTTTACTTCAAGTCTCATGCGTGTCAGTTTGGAATTAGGAATTGTCATTGAAAACAAGTACGTGAGTGGTCTGTGATTTGTTTTTTATGGTAGTGTAGTGTCTGCAATAAATATACGGGCTTAATTGCTGTCAGTTCTTGTTCTGTTGTGCTTTTGTTACTTCCATCCTTTGTAAATGCTATTGATGCGTATACTACTGGGAGTTGAAATCCATTTTTCTTTTGAGTTAAAACTGCTCTACACGCTTGCTTACTTGCTTCCGTAATTATGTAAACTTCTTTGCCGAAATCTGGGTACTGTAGCAAAGTAGGGCTTATTAAACATCAGTTAAGTTTTTAAGCATATGTTTTTTAGAACAACTAATGACTATTAGATCATCCATGTAAAGAAATGCTTGCGAATGGCCAATGGTAATCGCCTGAAGCGTTATGAACCATTGCTTATTGAGAAGGATGTTATTTCTCAAGAGCCTTTTTTAAGCTTGACTTGGTGAAAACCTGACATTAAGTCGAAGCATGAAAAATATTTTGCTCTACCTAGTTGATCCAAAATGTCATCAATTCTACGGAGTGGGAATTTATCGGACAATATTTTTTTATTAATCTGTCGATAGTCAATTACCAATTAACATTTTTTTTTTGTCAGAATTAGGAAGTGCTATTATAAGCAGATACAGATGGTTTCATTATGTTGTCGTTAATTAGTTTTTGTACTTGCGCAAGAATTTCGTCCTTTTGGCTATAAAAACTTCTATAATTTTTATATATACGGGTTCATCGTCCTTCAATCTCAATTTTTGTTTATAAAAATTGTTTGTTGTTATCGGCTCGGTATCTAGTCTGAACACATCGCTATATTTGGTGCAAATAGTTGTTACCTGTTTATGGAATTGCAGTGGAAAGTTTTTTGAAAGTTGTGCAAGTACAGATTTTTTCCTGTTTTCTAAATGTATTTTTATTACTTCGTAATTTGAAAGGGGTTCGTTCATATTATACATTTTTAATACTGACAACTTGATCGATATTTGTGGTATTAAGAAGTCTTATGAAATATCATTTTGGGATGTTGCAATGGTATTTGCTATATAAATACCATGCTGAATTTTCTGGTTTGGAATCAACACACTGTCTTCTATTGAATCTATTTTAATTTTTTCGAACAACTTTATCTGTTTGTATTTCGATAGAAGTTAATCCTTTTGATTTGGTAACTTCTTGGCTTATTCCTCGTATATTTATTGTATGCTCTGATTGGATGAATTCAAAATTATCGGCATCTGCCTTTAAAATGGATATACATATGTATCTGAACCAGTGTCGACAAGTTTTTTTTTTTCTGTTGCGACATTTCTAAAAGTGGCGAATGCGTTTAAACTGAGATTGATATTGTAAACTTTCTCGTCATGTATTGCTAAGTATCTAAAGGTGCATGGGAGAGTCCCGAAACATTGTTGGCTGTCCTGACGTTGTTGTTATTATTAGAGATTTGTTGGTTATTTCCCCTATAATTTCCACTAAAGTTGCCTCTGTTATTCCCTCTATAGTTATTATGATAGGGGTAATGGTTATTATTTTGGCCGTTATTGTGATTATTAATTTTATACCCTTGCAGGGTATTATAATTTCTGCTAGAAGTTTGCAACGCAGTGAAGGAGGCACCTCCGACTATATAAAGTATATATATTCTTGATCAGGATCAACAGCCGAGTCAATCTAGCCATATCCGTCTGTCCATCTGTCCGTCTATCCGTCTGTCCATCTGTCCGTCTGTCCGTTTCTACGCAAACTAGTCTCTAATTTTTAAAGCTATCTGAATGAAACTTTGTAGTTAGTCTTCTATATACTCTCATTCGCATATACATGAGTAGTCAAAAGTATTTATACAAATTCTCAATTATTTTCACCGCCAAACTTATTTTTGTTATTATTATTGTTTTTGTTGACCGATTTCAATGAAATTTTTTTTTATTGCATAAATTGATCTATTCAGAAAGAAGAAGAAAACGAAAAAAAAGATAACGGTTCATAGGACAATATTAAAAGCAAAAGAAAATATGTCTATTTATTTTGGATATAGCTTAATAAACTCAATATTCCAACCAATTGAAAGCCTTCATCGATACCTAAGCAAATTTTTTTAACTATTTATAAAGTAACTTATGAGATTGTCACAAAAAAATTGTTTAATTTTAATAGCATTAAAATTAAGACAAACACAAATTATGTGTAAATATTGCACTGTAGGTGCATCTATTCTTTTACTTATAGCACTTTTCTATGAACCGTCAAACCACCGTTCTGTTTGGCTCGCTTCTGCATAGATCAATCTACGCAATAAAGAAAAAAGGGAAAACGGTCAACAACAACAAGAATAACAACTACAAGAAATTTGGCTATGAAAATGATCGAAGTGTAAATACTTTTGACTACCTTTGTATGTCGGCCGTATCGGACGACTACATATGTATGTATATCATATAGTTGCTGTCGGGAGCAGAAGCAGCAGATTTAATATTAAATGTTTTAAATCATTATTTGTAAACAAGCGATCAGCTGCGGCAGAAGCTTTCCACCTCATAAGCCGGCATGAAAGCTCTTCCGCCGCAGCTCTTCTGTTTGGTTTATCTATTCTCTCGATTCATTCGCTCACTTACGTTGAAACTAAAAACACACAAACTTTATAACCAAACCACACACAAGCACACACAAATTAAAACATAACTAATTTTACGCCAACACAAAACAAACCCCTCGCTAAATCAATTCGCTTAATAGGTGGCATAAATTAATGCCCTCCTCAAAACATTTGGTGACCCCGACGTGATCGCGTAAAAAATCGTTTTCGTTAAAATAAAAGGTGAAAAGTGCTTATATATAGTTCGTATGCTCACACAATACAATTGCATATCGTTGCATCGCTATTGAACTTTATCGGTACATTCGAGTACATAGCATCTCTTTATATATTTGTGCACTAGCATATAGTTGCAGCCCTTTTATATACTTTTCGTGCAAATTGTGTTTGTGCTGTTGGTTTTGGTGGTCCGATAGAACCGTTAGCTCGCGGTCAGTGAACGCCAAGCTTGGCTCCGCTATTCTTTCGTTCTCTATTCTCTGCGTTTGGTACAGCTGCTTCGGTCGCAAACCCAAGGTGACATTTGAATACTCTTTTTGAAAATAAAATGGCAGAGAATGATTCGGTTACTGCGTGCCCATCCGGGGCCAATAGTGATTTTGACTTTTATAAAGCCAAAGCGGACTCGGTTTTTCGACAGCTAGTGGCTTTAAATGACTTTTTCGGTTCAGAAGAGGCGTCTCATTTTGATGAGGCCGACCTTCAAGTCAGGCTTGAGCTTATTGAAAAAATGCAAGATAATTTTGATAAGTCTCAAACAGCTGTCGAAAGGCTCAATCTACTAGAGCTGGCTAGTGATGTGCGTGCAAAATTTCTAAACATTTATTGTGCGGTGAAATCCAAAATATCTCGCGAACTAGCAAAACTCCGCCGAGTGTCAGTGATAAATTCGACTGCACTCCCAAATTTCAACATCGAGCAGGCTTCAACCTCCAGGGCTGGTGTCCGGGCCACTAGGCTGCCTGAGTTTAAGCTGCCACGATTTGGAGGCGCTTATATGGACTGGCCAGATTTCTACGCTATGTACACTACAGTCATCGGCAACAACGAGGACCTGACCAATTTGGAAAAATTCCAGCATCTACGCTCCTGTTTGGATGGCCCCGCGTTAGACACAATTCGCTCGCTGGAGCCAACAGAGGCCAATTATGAGAAGGCAGTCGACCTATTGACTGCTAGGTTTGATAACAAACTTTTGCATTTTCAGGGGCACATACGATCTATTTTCAGGCTTTCTAGTGTGGTGAAAGGGTCGGCAAGGAGTTTGCGGCAATTGAGCGACGGCATCAACTCTCATCTGCGAGCCCTTAACACAATGGCAACCACCCAGGAGATTGCGGATGGAATGCTCATATCCCTGGTGTCCTCCAAACTGGATCAGCATACCCAGGAGAAGTGGGAAGAGGGATTGCCTACCAATAAGCTGCTAAAATGGACGGATATGGCTGCCTTTTTGGAGAAGAGATGTCGGATGATGGAAAACATTGAAAATGCTATGGTAACCCACACACCTAGCAACCAGGTGGGAAAAACTATAAATAAAAACGTCCAAAACGCTTGCACCGCATCATCCTACACCTCATTATGTATTTTGTGTGATTCTAAGGATCACTTTATTTCGAAATGTCCACAATTTATTGCCTTGAGTCCCACACTACGCTACAAAGAAGCAAAAAGGCTACATCTTTGCCTAAATTGCCTGCGTAAAGGCCACAGCCTGCAGCAGTGCAAAGCTGGGAACTGCAGGCATTGTCGCTCTAAGCATCATACATTGCTACATTTGAAGTCAAATTCTGCTTCATCACCCTCGCAGCCCACATCCACTTCTGCTCCTCAAAATAGTGCCTCGCTCATTTCTGCTTCGCCAAATTCACCCCCACCTAAAGCCTCGGTAGATCATCAATCTGATTATGTGCTTCTTGCCACTGCCATCATATATGTCCGAAATCGTTCCGGCATAATGGTGCCCTGCAGAGCCTTGCTCGACTCTGCATCGCAAATTAATTTCATTACTTCTCGACTCGCTCATCAATTGCAACTGTCAACTCGTCGCTCAAATACATGCATCTCAGGTATAGGAGAGTCTTCACTCATGGCTGATAAGGCGGTAGATATTATTGTACGATCTCGCAACAAAGGTTACCGAACATCATTCGCTGCAATAATGACTAGCACCATCACAAATTATCAGCCGCATTTCGACCTAAACTCTTCAGAATGGAACATCCCCAGCAATTTATTCCTCGCCGATCCGCTCTTTCACAAAAGTCAAAGGATTGACATTCTTATAGGAGCTGGAATCTTCTTCGACCTGCTTTGCGTTGGGCAGATACGGCTGGCCGATCACCTTCCCTCCTTGCAAAAAACTAGATTGGGTTGGGTAGTATCCGGTGGCATATCTTCGCCGGCCCATAAACACTCTTCTCTTCCCGCATTGTCAGTTGAGCACGATGTACAATTGGAACCTGAATCGTTGCCGGACCTTGTCAAACGGTTTTGGGAAATTGACAGCTATTGTGGATCGTCATCTGCTCCAACTGATGAGGATGCCTTGTGCGAGAATTTATTTGCTCAATCTTATTCTCGGCTTGAGTCAGGCCAATATTCAGTTCGATTGCCCGCAAAGACTAGTCTCGATATGCTAGGAGATTCATACCATCGTGCTTCGCAGCGATTCAAATCATTGGAATCCAAATTGGCTAGAAATCCTAATCTCAAGGCTCAATATATTGCCTTTATAAAGGAGTATATCGATTTAGGCCATATGTCGCTCTCTTGCAAGCAGTCAGCTTTGCCGCAATATTATTTGCCCCACCACTGCGTTCACAAATTGGACAGCTCGACTACCAAGCTCAGGGTAGTCTTCGATGGTTCTGCCAAGTCTTCGTCTGGATACTCTTTAAACGAGTTGCTCTTTGCTGGTCCCTCCATTAGGCCTAAAATCTTCAGCACTTTGGTTCGGTTCAGATTCTTTAAAGTGGCACTATGCGGCGACATCTGCAAAATGTTTCGCTGTGTGCGTGTCTCCGAACCTGATAATCTGCTCCAATGCATCCTCTGGCGTGATAGTCCAAGCGAAGAAATTAAAATATACTCCCTGGACACCGTCACTTATGGCACTAAGCCTGCTGCATTCCTAGCAATTCGTGCTATGCAGCAGCTCTCCTATGATGAGGAGAAGGATTTTCCTGTGGCAGCCAAGATCGTGCGTAGGGACTTTTATGTTGACGACCTTATTTCTGGAGGCGACTCGATCGAAGAGGTCGTTTATATCCGGCAGCAGGTTAAATCGTTACTTGCAAAAGTCCTATTTCCAATTCGTAAATGGTGCTCCAATGAGCCGGCAGCGCTTGAAGGAGAACTTGAGGCTGATCGCGAGAAAATGCTCAAATTCAGTGATGGGACTGACGTCGCCAAAACACTTGGCCTATACTGGGATACAAGTTCCGATAATTTGCTTTTTGGATTCTCTGGAAATGTAGCAGACAAGCCAGCTACCAAGCGGTCTATTTTATCAGCCGTAGCCAAATTCTACGATCCCCTAGGTCTTATAGCGCCCATTATAACCAGGCTCAAAATATTCCTGCAAATCCTGTGGAAAGATAAGCTCGACTGGGATGAGACTTTGCCACAAATCTTTGCATTCCTTATGGTTGGAACACTCCGCGCAAATTTCGGCAGTCAGCCATTTAAAATTTCCTCGCTTCATCATGCAATCTGACTCATCTTTGGAAATTCATGGATTTTGTGATGCAAGCTTGGCGGCATATGGTGCCTGTATTTATGTGCGCTCCGAAGCAGGGGGCACCTACTCATCACATTTGCTTTGCTCCAAGTCTAGAGTCTCGCCGCTTAAAACAATAACCATACCCAAACTTGAATTATGCGCAGCTCTATTGCTATCCGAACTCATCCACAACATCGCTAATGCCATTTCTCAGCCTTGCACATATCATTGTTGGTCTGACTCAACAATTTTGCTCTCTTGGATTCGCCAGGCCCCATCAGACTTTAACATTTTTGTCTCCAACAGAATCGCGCAGATTCAAGAAAGGACCAAGGATATGGCTTGGCATCATATATCGACCCACTACAACCCGGCTGACATATTATCCAGAGGATGTACTCCGCTCGAACTTTTGGATTCGACGCTGTGGCGTGAGGGCCCACCATTCCTGCGGACAGACGAAGCTTGCTAGCCGCCTCATACGCCTACTCTAGTAGATGTGCCTGAACGCCGCCGCCTCGCGCTGGTGCTGACGCAAAGCCAGGATATTTCATATGGCTGCAAGTTTCAAAATTGTTTTGGAAAGCTGCAGCGAGTCTTTGGCTACATACATCGGTTCCTAATGCTAAAAGCCAAGGATGAGCCACGACGACGAGGACCTCTTACAGTAGACGACATCAAGGGAGGCACGCATCTGCTCATCAAGGGAATCCAGCTCATCAACTTTGCTGAGGAGTATAAGGCCCTGCAATCCGAAAGGCAGATTTCCTCAAAAAGCAAGCTGTACTCGCTGCATCCAATCTGCGATGAATCGGGACTTATTCGAGTTGGCGGTCGGCTGCAGAATTCATTATTGGATTATGATGCAAAACACCCAATTTTGCTTCCCAAGGATCATCCAGTCACGTCAGCAATCATAGCTCACTATCATTTGAAATTTCTTCACTCAGGCCCGCAGAGCTTATTGGCGGCCTTACGGCAAAGGTTTTGGCCAATTGGTGGTCGAAAAATAGTCGCAGCCACTATCAACAAATGCATTCGCTGCTTTCGATTAAAGCCCAAATTAGCTGAGCACATCATGGCTCCCTTGCCATCCAACCGCGTGCAGCCAAGTCGACCATTTGTCACAGTGGGAATCGATTTCTGTGGTCCTTTCTACTCCAAGTCTGAAATCAGAAACCGGCCACCCGTCAAATGCTATATCGCAATATTTGTTTGCTTCGCCACTAAAGCCTGCCATTTGGAGCTGGTGGAGGATTTGTCTGCGGCTTCATTCATCGCTGCCCTCAAGCGCTTCATAAGCCTAAGGGGCAAGCCTGGCACAATATGGTCCGATAACGCTACAAACTTCGTTGGAGCCAAAAACGAGCTGCTGGAACTGAGGCAACTGTTTCTCGCCGACCCTCAAAACAGCGATCTTCAGCAGGCCTTCGTTTCCATCGGGATCAAATGGCAATTTGTTCCCCCTCGTTCGCCTCATTTCGGCGGCCTATGGGAGGCTGCCGTCAAATCTGCAAAATATCATTTTCATCGGGTCGTTGGCAACACTATTCTCTCATTCAATGAGCTTCGCACTTTAGTTTATGAAATTTCAGCGATGCTTAACTCTCGACCGCTCTGTCCAATTTCAGAAAACCCTAACGATTTGGATGTCCTTACACTAGGTCACTTTTTGATTGGGTCTTCTTCTGCCACAATCGAGGAGCCCGACATCACGCACCTCAGCATCGATCGGCTGAGCCGCTGGCAACGAGTTTGCCAAATTCAGCAAATCATCTGGCGGAAGTGGAGTACCAGCTACCTCTCGCTTTTACAAGAGCGTGGGAAATGGCGTGCATCAAGGCCCAACATCCTACCGCATAGCATTGTGGTGCTCAAGGAGGACAACATCCCTCCGCTTCAATGGCGTCTTGGCAGAGTGGAGAGCATTATCCATGGAGCTGACGGTGTGGCCCGTGTCGCTATCATTCGGACAGCCACTGGCCTAATAAAAAGGGCTGTTGGCAAAATAGCTGTTCTACCCCTGGAAACCACCTCATCTGGCAGCGTGCCGCATCCAGCGGGGGGAGCATGTCGGGAGCAGAAGCAGCAGATTTAATATTAAATGTTTTAAATCATTATTTGTAAACAAGCGATCAGCTGCGGCAGAAGCTTTCCACCTCATAAGCCGGCATGAAAGCTCTTCCGCCGCAGCTCTTCTGTTTGGTTTATCTATTCTCTCGATTCATTCGCTCACTTACGTTGAAACTAAAAACACACAAACTTTGTAATCAAACCACACACAAGCACACACAAATTAAAACATAACTAATTTTACGCCAACACAAAACAAACCCCTCGCTAAATCAATTCGCTTAATAGGTGGCATAAATTAATGCCCTCCTCAAAACAGTTGCCATAGGAATGATCGGACAATTTTTACAAAAAAATTTATAACATTTTCAGTTTTCAACAGAATTTAATTAAATTTGAGATATAGCCATTTATATATTATATATATATATATATATATATATATATATATATATATATTATATTTATAACTGAGTTTTAAATCAAAAGAAAAATGGACTTCAACTCCCAGTAGTATACGCATCAATAGCATTTACAAAGGATGGAAGTAACAAAAGCACAACAGAACAAGAACTGACAGCAATTAAGCCCGTATATTTATTGCAGACACTACACTACCATAAAAAACAAATCACAGACCACTCACGTACTTGTTTTCAATGACAATTCCTAATTCCAAACTGACACGCATGAGACTTGAAGTAAAGGAATATAATTTCATAGTAGAATATCTTAAGGGCAAAGATAATGAATTACGTAGCAGATACATTATCAAGAATAACTATCGAAGAAATAAAACACATAAAACACATAACCAGAAATATAAATAAAGTTTCTACAAGATATCAAAGTAGGCAGAAATCCTGTGAAGGAGAAAAACAAATTGAACGGCCAAGGCAATCTATAGAAAAAGTTTAAAAGCCTAACGTATTCGAAGTTATATATAACAACGAAGTACGTGAAGTAGTGACCTTGCAAGTAAAAAATATGACCAGTTTTATCAAACGTCGGAAAAAATTACTGCAAGATATAATGTTAGAGATTTTTTTACCAATAGAAATCTTGACTTAGATCAGTTCTTCCAAAGGCTTCAAATGCAAGCCGATATATATAAAATCAGCCAACTTAAAATGGCACCGTGGGAAAATATCTTTGAACATGTTTCAATTGATAATTTCAAGAAAATGTGCAACAAAATATTAAAATCATTGTGAATAGCGCTACTCAACGCGGTGACCCTAATAAAAAATACCAAATAAAAAGAAGCTATGGTATCTACATTTCATGATGATCCAGCACAAGGAGGACATACAGACATTACAAAAACCTTGACTAAGGTCCAGAGACACTAATACTGGAAAAATACGTTTAAAGAAATCTAAAGCAATTTTGGAATAATTTATTCTGAAGACGGTCCAATGAAGACGTTAATTACGGACATGGGAACAGAATATACAAACCTAATAATTACAGACAAGTATTTAAAAATTGGCAATATACCATCTACTGCACACCACCACCAAACGGTTGGAACAGTCGAAGATGCCATAGAACTATTAATTAACTCATTCGATCCTACATTTCAGTAGATAAAACGGATTGGGACGTATGGCTCCAATATTTCGTATACCGTTTCAATCCGACACCCTCTATGGCACATGATTATTGTCCATTTAGATTAGAAATATTTTATAAAAGAGCTAGAATTATGATAGATGAATATAAAAAAGACTAATAAAGAACTCTGACTTTACAACTACATAGACATAGCGCTGTCCTTAGGCTTTACCAAGGCACTAGAGAGCGCTGCCTTAGGTTAATATATCTTTTGTTACGAATTAAGAATTCAGACAATACATGGCAGTGGAAGCACAAGCAAAGGTGCTCCACTTGTTAAAACACCCAACTCGAACTTACTACACCACTTTTAAGACACTCAACTCGAACTTACTTCAAAATAAATTCACCGCTCATCATTGTATCATCTTTCCAAGTGAACGGACGTGTTTTTTTCTTGCGCTCTCGTTTTGTGTTAAAGTTTCAATCTAACCACCACCAGTTTTCGTAAAACTCTTGATATGTTCTTGGCGCTGGACACCCAATTTAATAGCCTAACGCTATTAAATGAGTCTCCTAGGCGCAAAAAAACTGCTATTGGTGGGCAGCATGTAGACGGACCCCAACTACCTGCAACAGGCTGTCAGCATTAATTCCAAGAGTGCTGAGATCGAGCGCTAGGAAAGATTCGGTATCCGAATGTGCAGCGGGAGTGCCCGTACCGCCGGTGATTTCTGTTTTATCCCCTGGGGGGTCGCAAATATTGACCCCTCAAAGTCCCGTCCACACAAATATATCTGCCCGGGGAGTTAGGCCCGGAATACTGGCCGACAATGGCACGGCAGATAACCAATATGCCTTGCCAAAAGCCCTTATAGCGGTTCCACCAACGAGCCATATTTTTGTCTCGCGGCTCTCCCCTGACCAAACATCGGAAGATGTTCTCGCCTTTATACAAGGCAAAACCAGAGCCGAAAAAATTAAGAGTAAGGTGGAAAAGTTCAAATTTTCTTACGCAAGGGACATTTCATCTTTCAAAATAAATGTCCCTAATGAGCTCTTTAACACTATTTGGTCTCCCAACTTATGGCCAGAGTACATCGTTGTTAAGGAGTTCGAGGCGAAGAAAAAGAAAAAGCGGCCTGTAGGAATAACTCTTCCCAGGCCTAATCATACCACTGCGCCTTCTACGTCTTCCAATCCCGACCCAAAAAACTAACCTACTCCTTAGGTATTTCCAATCAGAATGCAAGAGGCTTACGTAGTAAGCTTCCTAACTTGTATTCTGATAGCCTTTCGTTTGCATCTCAGGTTATTGTGCTCACAGAAACCTGGTTAAAGCCGGAGATTCTGAGCTCCGAAGTTTTTCCAGCTGTGTTCACGGTATATCGGCTAGATCGCCCTATCAGACGCGGTGGTGGAGTTCTTATAGCGGTGGACTCCTCACTCACATCAGAATTATTAACCTTCGAGGAATGCAACGATGTTGAATTCCTCTGTGTGAAGCTATCTATCAAAGGTAGCTCAATTTTTATTACCTGTTCCTACATACCTCCACTGTCGGAACTTCCTATTTATTGGAATCACCTTTCCGCTATTCAGATGGTTTCCAGTAGACTTTTGGATAGATACCAGTTGGTAGTCCTAGGAGATTTTAATATCCCTGGTGCTATTTGGTGCTCAAATAATTCCACCAATACTCCCCATACGCTTCGTTTCTGATCCTGCGTGAGTCAGTTTAGCAAGGGTGGCGCCTGTGACGCAGCACGAAGATCCGTATCATCCAACTTTCGATGACTCTTGATATTGGGTGTGACGTACAGAATATTTCTGACCGTCCTGCCAATAAAGACCTTTGTTTTCGCAAAACGGACTTTGAACGGCTGAATAATTTTATAAACGAGTTCAATTGGTCCGATCTATACATGTGCACTGACATGGCAGTTGCCGTGGATATTTTTTTCAGTGCCGTGAATTCATTTTTTACTGAATGTGTTCCTTTATATTATCCGCCAAGCTCGAGTAAGCCGCCGTGGTTTACTAAAGAGTTGAGCCGACTTAAAAATAAAAAATCTAGACTGTATGCTAAATTTAAAATCACCGGTTCTCAATCTGACCTTTCATTTTATTTATCAGCTCGGTCAAACTTTACCGTGCTGAACGCGCAGTGTTATAAAAACTATTTAAATCGTTGTAGGGCCCAGTTCTCACAGGACCCAAAACAGTTTTATCATTTCGTTAACACTAAACGTAAACCTAAAACAAATCCTTCCTCGCTTTCATTTGAAAATACTACCGCTAATAATGATCAGGCAATAGCCGATCTATTTTCGCAGTTTTTTCAAACAACTTATTCTAGCTCTTCGTATATATACCAGACTTATTCCTACGACATACCCAAACCAAACTTAATTTTCTGCCCTAGCCTAAACGAAAGCTCTCTCCTTTTAGATCTTCATCGTGTCAAGCCAGTTTATTCGCCAGGTCCCGACCGAATTCCTGGCTGTGTGCTCAGGTATTGTGCCGACGCCCTGTGGTATCCCCTTCTGAAATTGTTTACCTTGTCCTTAGAAACCTCCCACTTTCCCATTATTTGGAAGGAATCGTTTATTATTCCTCTCCACAAAAAAGGTAGCAAATTGGATGCCAGCAATTATAGAGGAATCTCTAAATTGTCGGCCATCCAAAAATTATTTGAAAATATTATCGCCCCTCATTTACAGCACCTTTGTAGATCGGTTATTTCTCCATGTCAACATGGTTTTATTAAGCGAAGATCAACAACAACAAATCTTTTGGAGCTCTCTTCCTATATTATAAAGGGCTTCCATAATAATTGTCAGACAGATGTAATCTATACTGATTTCAGTAAAGCATTTGACTCTGTTAATCATTCTCTCCTCGTTAGAAAACTCGATTCAATGGGTTTTCCAAGTGATCTTCTTAATTGGATCTCTAGTTATTTGAATGGCAGGACGCAAAAGGTCCTCTTTAAGAATAATTTATCCAATATTCTAAGGGTTACATCTGGTGTCCCGCAAGGAAGCCATCTGGGACCCTTAATGTTTACATTGTTCATAAATGACCTGCCCAAAGTCTTGACTAACTCCAGAGTACTTATGTACGCGGTTGACGTCAAGCTTTGCGTGCAATACAATGACGTTGCCTGCCTGTCGGATTTACAAACAGATCTTAATCATTTTCAAACTTGGTGCCGTGTAAGCTTATTAAACTTAAATGGCTCGAAATGCAAGCTAATGACATTCTCTCGTGTCGCTCCTAAGCTTGCTACTTACACGCTGAACGGCTGCTCTTTGGAAAGAATTA